TCATTAATCATTCATTTCAGCCTTCTGTACAGTTTACCTGAGGGCAAATGTGTGAACAGGCTGTGTTGTGGGTGTGTATTGTCTTAACAACCCTGCTACTGTAAAGTGATGTACTGTGCAGTTTTTTTTTACCACATGCTTTCCTGAACAGTGTACATCTGTAGAAGTTCCTGAGGACTTTGTGCAATTTATTTAGTGTTTTTTTCAGTGGAAAAAAAAATCACACTGATGGTGTAGAAGTCTGACAAAAACTGTATGTATCAAATATGATACACTATAGGCGTTAAGAGGTTAATACTTAATCAGGTCTCTATTCTTAAATTCTCTGCCTATTCCCTGTCTAAGGCATTATAGTTAACTAATACTAAACTACAAAACTAAAAAATTACTTAATTAAATAAAAATAAAAATTAGACTTTTGAAAAAAAAATATAAAATCGAAAGAGTTTGGTGAATTTGGAAAACTAAAATTAAATTAAATTAAATTAAAATGAGTAAATATCTTGAGTCTTATTTCTTGTTAGTCTGGTAACAATTTTATTACAGTACACCTAATAAGGCTTTGATGGACATGTTTATTAAGACTTTGTGTACAACAGAAGTTCTGTGTTTTTATTGTACTGCTTTTCCTAAATCTTGTCCCCAACATATGCTCTCCATACAATAATAAAGCATAAAAATTAAATAAGATTAAAAAAATAATACTAAACTTTTTCACAACAATAAAAACTAAACTGAAATGACAAAATCCACTCTGGAAACCAACTGACACTAGACTGAATAAAAATAGTAGCTATTAAAAAAATAATTACAAAAAAAAAAACTTGATTAAATCTAATACACACATACGCATGTAATGCATGTCAACTTTAATCACCCGTGGTATCTGAGAATGTCACTGTCCGCCCGCCCACGATTGAAATATCGCGAGATGATGTGCCGGAAGCTAACACCGCGTGGGTTTGTGTAACATGTTAGGAAATACATTCAATGCCCTTTATTGCGAAGGCAAAACTGCGTCTATGGCGGGATTGAAGGTAACGTCAGAGACCGTGGACAACAGAGTTTGTCTGGCAGGGTTTCAGCGTCGCAGCGATACTTGTGCTACTGTTTGCTAGCTCGTTTTCTCTGCCTGAAAGTAATATTACTGTAAAACACCCCAGATCCTCTCTTCTCGTTTTACTGCGCAAACACAGGCATGCAATGAATGAGTTGTTATTGGGTTTATTTGCATTTACTATAAGAAAGCTAAACAAAGTCTGCTGTTTAAGTTTTTTAATGCGTATCTTGCATCTACTACTGACAGGGACCAAACCTGCCTCGTAGACCAAAAAGTAAAACTAATTTTTTTTTTTTTTTACTAATAATACTTTATTTTTTGTCCATTTGAAATGCATTTTCGTATTAAAACACACATGAGTGAGGTATGTGTTTGATACCACACATACTGTATTGTGTCTGTTTATTCAACCCCAGATTGTGTCATTGTAAACAGAGTGAGTAGTCTATTGAACTCTTAGCCGTCTGGTCACATGATGTTTATCACCCTCTGTTCAACAGAAAAAGTTAAAAGAAGCCGTGAAGGTCATCAGCTCAGGTAGCCTCCTGTTTGCTTCCTACCTCACTGTGACTGGAGATGAGCGTTTCTATGCCAACCAGCTGATGCCCCTGCTGCAGAGGATTGTGGGGCCTGAGACAGCCCATGTGCTGGCAGTGAAGATGATAGGTTTGGGTCTGGTACCTCTGAACCGTTACCAGGACCCTGCGTCATTGGTAAGCATGTCACAGTGCTGTCTCCTCAGTGGGTTGCATGCGCTTCTGGACGTCTCTAAGGGTTTGTTCTGTTTGTCTGCAGGAAGTCAACGTCCTTGGGTTAAAGTTCAAAAACCCGATTGGGATTGCGGCCGGCTTCGACAAGCACGGAGAAGCCATTGATGGCTTGTACAAACTGGGCTTTGGCTTTGTTGAGGTGGGGACAGTTACTCCCAAACCTCAGGAGGGGAACCCGAAGCCACGTGTGTTTCGCCTCACTGCAGATAATGCAATAATCAACAGGTGAGGTTGGAGGTGCTGCACCACAGTTGGTGCTTTAAAAGGCCTGTTTCATGTCTTTAGGTTGACATACTTAGCTGAAAGTAAAAAGTGATTGCTCATGGTTCTGTGTGTGTGTGTTTTATGTCTAATAACCTTATCTTTAGTAGTAAATAGTCTGTAATCGACAGGATTTATGAAGGAGTTTTACAATTTTCACATTTTCTCATTGCTCTGCATTTAATCACTTCACTCCTTAAAATATTGTTAAGGCCAGCATGGTGGCACGATGGTTATTCTAAATCGCCCATAAGTGCAAATGGTAGTCTGTCTCTTTGTGTTAGGCTTCTGACAGACTACCAGTCTGTCCAGGGTACACCCCGCCTTTTGCTCTATGGGAATTTGGATTGGCACCAGTCCCCCAACAATGCGGATTTGGATAGGTGGAAGAAAACAGATGGATGAATATCTTTGTAGAACTGTTAAGTTCTATTTGTTGTCATTCCTGATGCCGTTTTGGCTGGATTGCTCTTGAAAAAGAGATTTTAAATCTCAGTGAGACTTTTCTGCCAGAAAAATAAAGAATATATTAAATCTTTTTGCCGAACACTGATCGCAGCTTTTATCTTGTGACAGAAATGTCCTTTGTTGTTCAAAATGACAACATGTCGTTCATGAGCGATATGAGAGATCATTTGCAACTGTTTAAACACAGACAACACTGCCACTGAGGTTGTGGGCAGTATTCTCCTGAATGGTAGGTGTCGTCAATCGTCCAAAACCGCAGCATCAGTGTTGGTGTGTGACGTCACTTTTGGCGTGGGCCTACGACAATGATGACGACAACAGGTGTTGTATTTTTGATGCTGTTTTTGGCCAGTCGTTTACCTCGCCACAGCCATGTCGAAGACACGAGTTAATGCTCATGTTGCTTTTTACCGTCATGTCAGTGAGTTTCCCAAATTATTCAGAGGGCAATGATGCAACAGCTAGGAAAGAGAAAATCTTTTCTCTGCTTTTTTGACTTACATTAGTGCTGATGCTGAGGTTTTGTCTGTGTAGTGACACCTGTCATACAGCAGCAAGTATAGGACACTCAGCGCCAATATAAATAATATCACTGGCTTGTAGGTAACCTGTCGAACTCTTATGTAAAAACACATCACACTGACATCACAGGTGGGAAGTAACAAAGTGCAAATACTTAAGTAGAATTTTCAGGTACCTGTACTGTACTTGAGTATTTATTTTTCAGACAACTTACAGCTTATGTGTAATTTTAATCACATATTGGATCTGTATTTGATGTGTTTTGCAGTAATTTGGTGAATTAAAGCTCTGTGTTGGACAGGGCCACAGTGGTGCTCATGCTCACATTTAGGTTACATAGCAGAGATTAAATTGCATTTACAATGAGGATACTTACATTAATTCACTGAATGAATTAAGTGAAGAACGTCTTTACTTTTGCCACATCTGCTGCTCATATCCTTTAGTGCATTTGCCAGCCTAATCCAGAAGCAGAGGATGTTTGCTTGTAGAAAATACTAGAAAGGTAGAATGATGTCAAAAAGTAAGCCAGATATTAGTTATACTGATACTTGCACTGGATGTTTGCAGGTCTGAGCATATACAACAAACAAGCATTAGTAATTCATCACTGGATTTTTTTTTGCATTAAATTACATGTTTCTGAGATGATTATAGGTTTTTCTTACATAGGTAGAGATTTCATGCACTCATGATTTCACAAAGATGTTTAATATGATGTCGAAATGTCAAAGGTCAGCTTGACTGTCACATTATCATGTCTTGTACAAAATTACGTGCCATAACCAAACTATAGTGTTTTGACTGTATGTGACATTTGGTCAGTTAATTACATTCTTTACTAAACAGGGTGTGTGTGTGGACAGACATGATTTTAAGCTTCAGTTTGTCTGTTGGTACGCGCATAGAGTTTAAGCCAGTGTTTTAACAGGTTGTTTTTTTTACCCCCTCTGTGTGTAGATATGGATTCAACAGCTGTGGTTTGGCAGAAGTACACACGAGGCTGAAGGCCAGAGAAGAAACACAGCAAGGTCGAAGTAAAGGTTAGCAGATTCTCTTTGTATTCTCTGAAGTACTGTAAATGTGGCACCAGAGATTACATAGTTCACTTTCATTTAGATCTTACATACTTTTGTTTTTTTTGGTGGCTTGTGATGTGGGATGTCAGCATTAAATTATGTATAAGGTTAAATATATTTTTAATGATCTTGACCTTTCCTCATCTTGTATTTTAATCACGCCTGCATACTTACTTAAATCTCATTTAGCACGTCAGCAGCATGTGCCCCAGTTGAGTCATGTGCCTGATGATGCAACCTGTGTCTGTGTTTTCTGAACTTTCCTGTTTGTGTGTGTGTGCATATTTGTTTATAGCTGGCCTTCCCCTCGGCATCAACCTGGGGAAGAACAAGCTGTCACAGGATGCGGGGGCAGATTATCTGGAGGGCGTGAAAGTGCTGGGCCCGCTGGCCGACTACCTGGTGGTCAACGTTAGCAGCCCTAATACACCAGGTCTACGGGATCTACAGGGCAAGGCTGAGCTTCGCCAGCTTCTGCACACAGTAGGACTACAGAAATGATCATTTAATTGCAAACACTGAGAAGCACAAACAAATCCTCACTGGCATCTTGGTGCAGTGATTAATGGAGGCATGCCATGTAATACAGTTTATAAGACAATAACATTTCTAAGAAGCAGTTCTAACAAGCCTGAAGTTGATAATTTGGTATGATCACCTCTATTCTTCAACATAACCTGTCTATCTTTACTAACCTGTAGACTACACTCTTGAAAAGTGACGATGAGGATGCTATTCAAGGCGGAAGTTATAATCCACAACCTCACTGCTAGATGCCACTAGGTCATATGTGCTGCTCTTTTAACATAATAGTTTGTAGTTTTTTGTAACTTGAACACAATGCTTTGAATCTGACCTGTAGCCATGTGCTGATTTTGCCATTGTGTACCGAAAAAGGGTTTCAACAGTGATTTGTTTAGCTGATATTTGTATAATTGATAGTATTGGTTTTTGGTGTTGGTTTTGCTTTAACTTCTACAACTTCCCCAGCTGTAGTATTTCCCCCCCACACCCACCACCACCCTCCTCCCCCCCACCCCTCCAGTGAGAAGCAAATGTTGTTTTCCCTTGCAGCAAAAGGGGAAAATAAGTCAAGGACAGGGTTAATGAATGTCACAGAACTGCGACATCTGTGATAAAAGCTTCATGCCCCATCAGCACCATATTTGAGTACTCATTGGCTTCACTGGTTCAGATTGGGTAGTGATGGGTAATAATGGAATTTTAAAAGAGGCATTTTTATAAACTCCCCATTAGGTTGACTGAAAACAATCAGAAAGGCACTCAAGTGGATTTGATGGGTATATGTTAGGTATTCAATGTAATAAAATCTGTAGCTCCAAAGTCTCTTTTCTGTACATCAGTTCTTGAACCATAGGCTGTATTTTTAGCCCTTCCTAATTTCCAAGGCTTTAGATCTTATGCCACAGTAAACCATCTTTCTAACTAGTCTCCAGTCTCTCTACCTCATCACCTGACACTTGTACTATCTGCTCAGGTGCAGAAGGAACGTGACGCCCTGCAGGAACAGCGTAAACCTCCCGTCCTGGTGAAGATTGCTCCAGACCTGACTGCCCAAGACAAACAAGACATTGCTGATGTCGTCACTGAGGTGGGAATCATTGTTATGTCTAAAGTAAAACATGCTTTATCTAAAAAAAACCCCCCAAAAAACAGCCTTAACCCTGCGTAAAGCTTCACATGGCTCCCTTCCTCCTCTGTGCTCGGGTAACCTTGTCACTACTTCAGTAGGTTTTTGTGCTCATTGGAGCGGTGAGGAGTTGCACTTTAGTAGATGTGACATTGAGGACGGAACAGAAAGCGAATCACACTTTGTCTCTTTCTTTGTCACCGAGTATTTCACATCAGAGGTCACTCGCATACATACATCAGTTCTACTGCTGTAGGTGCCGCCACCTGTGACACCTACTTTCTATCTCCGCTTATGCTCTGTGTTTCCAGCTGGGAGTGGATGGTTTAATGGTGTCTAACACCACTGTGTCAAGGCCAGAGACACTTCAGGACCCAAATAAGTCTGAAGTTGGAGGGCTGAGTGGAGAACCTCTCAGAGACCTCTCTACTACAACTGTCAGAGAGATGTACAACCTCACCAAAGGTACGGCGTTATGTCCATCTCCATCTCCCTCAGTATCGACTGTGCATATGAAGTAAATGTCCTGTATGTTGTTATTATTGTAGGTAAAATACCAATTATTGGGATTGGCGGTGTTGCTAGTGGGCAGGATGCGATGGATAAGATCCGTGCTGGTGCATCATTGGTTCAGCTCTACACTGCTTTGACCTATCAGGGTCCACCTGTAGTGATAAAGATAAAGCGAGAACTGGAACAGCTTCTTAAGTGAGTATGAAAATAACCATTAAAGCCGAGTTCTCAAGTGAAAGGTTTAAGACTTTTTCTGGTGTTTTTAATAGTTTATTTTAAGAGTTGTTCTTGTTTAGGACACATTTTTCTTAGAACTATTGGATGTTGTTCCTACTGTTTATAAATTTTAGTTTTAGTGTAGGGACACAAGAATTATGATTTTCTGGGCTGATATGCAAGCTTGTAGAAACAGAATAGAGGCTTCAAGTACAACTTCACTTAGTTTGAAGGTGAACATAGAAGAAAAAAATCTGAAGATGTTAAAGCTCCAGGAATGGTTGTAGTATGAAGAAACACAAACTTGTGTATTACTTCTGTATTAACACCAATAAAGATTGTATTCATACTATAAGTTTTGCTGAAGGTTTAAACTCTTTAGCCAATATCCATGTTGAAATAAGACTTTGGCAATACTTTATCGTTCACGCCTCCCTGTGTGTTTTAAAACCTCTTCATCCCCCCTTTTTTAAAGCCAGTGTAAATGTGTGTTAACATGATAACAGACATACAGCAGCCAGTAGATGACATTTTTTTTGCCCACTAACTACTCTACTATCGGTCAGCCAGGCTGATGTGATATACCGATATTTAGCTGCTAGGTCAAAGGATCCTTATTTATATATGATTGTTTAAAGTCTGAGACAGCAGCAATCACCAGCCCCCAAAAACTTCCCTTTCATTGCATTGTCAGAAGAACTTTCGTACATACATACAGCAACCATTTAACCAGACTGTATCACTCCTCAATTTAATCAGTACCTTTGTTGGCACACCTCAGCAAGGCATGAAACAGCTGTGCCTAAAATCTTGTCAAATAAGTTATTACAGGATACAAATTTGGAGCACAGGCTTCCATCAGTTTATTCCGGTCTTTTTGCTTCTCAGGACAAATACTTATAACCTACGCTGCTGTGTCTGCTTCCACAGAGATCAGGGTTTCAGCAGTGTGTCCGAGGCAGTTGGAGCTGATCACAGGCAGAGCAGATGAGTCGACTCCTAAGCAGAGCCCACATCGAGAGATGGGGGATTGCTAATGTAGCCAGCCGTGGCTCCTGAACTGGGGTGAATCCGGAGTTTTTATTATCCGTCCATCTTGTTTTCCAGGGTGGAGTACACATTATGGTCTGAAATCACAGTAAAAACCAGTAAGTGAGTAATGATCAGTGTTTTATGTTGTCGTAAGTATTAAGAACCTGAGATCTGTACCTTGATTTCAGACATTCAGACTTTGTTACAGTGTAACAGCAGTTGGTGTTTCTCACATGCAGACCTAAACCTTTCAAGCCCCCCCAACTGATTTTTAATGATGCAGACTTTTCGTCAGCGTGAAGAAAATCATTGTTTGTGATGCAGAGTATATGACCTTGAAACATATTTGTAATGGTATTGTGTGAAAATAAAATCAAAGACTTTAAAGGCTCAGATACCATCAAGTCATTTATTTTGCTGTGAAACATCACAGGAGCATACTTGAAGGACTTGAACTGTTTCATGGTGGAGCTTCAAGTTACAAAGAAGAATGCCCTGAACCTGACAACATGCACCAAGTAAAACGGATAGTTTTGTTATTCATTTCCCTGCTCAGAGAATGTCGTGATTTGAAATGAGCCACAAAGGCCAGTATTCAGGAATTGCTGGGCTGATAAATTTTCAGAGCACTTGTTTTGTTCTGGTGTATTCTGAATATGAGAGTGCTTTGAAACGTTTGCAGGTGACGCATTAGAAAGATTCTAGACTTATTTCTGATTCAGTGTGTAAAACGTACCTTTTTCACTTCAAAGATCAAAACCCAACTTGTGTTCTGAAAGGTAACCACTACTGAAAGCCCATGTTTATCACTATCCAGAGGATCCAATAAGCTGAATGTGTTGACTTCTCATACTAACAAAAATGAAGTTTTACCTCCTCTTAGAATCTGTTTTCAGTGCTGTGACGCTCCTCAAAGGATAAACATCTTTCAGTTTCCTCTAACAGCCTGCCTTTAGCCGTCAAGTAGATTAAATACACCACTACATTTTGCATTTGGTCAGATCACTTGGTGCTAAAGAAGACTTTGAAATGGAAATAAAAGACACACGATTTTCCCCAAAAGTACATTCTGTGCTTACTGTGCTTATTTATTTCATTTTTATGTCAATTTAAGATCTCAATAGCTGTAAAGTGTGTGTGTGTGTGTGTGTGTGTGTGTGTGTGTGATGGGGATTGGAACTGACTTAATAAATTGTTTTGGTATGTTTTTTATAAATGTGGAGATATAAAGGTCTTAATAATGGAATAATTCACGTGGAGTAGAAAAAATGAAGGTGCAGCAACAACATAAAGGGTTCACTCTAGGAGGAACTGTGCATATATGTTCTATTATAGATCCATACATGAAGTATTTCTTATGATTGAAGTAGTTTCAGACATGAAAGGACTTTGAGTTTTCTGTGTTCTTGACAGCAATGCATGAAGCCCTTAAGTCATGCTCCTCTCAGCTGGACTCCCACTCCTCTCTGTTCTATTAGCGGTGTTGCATCATGGCCTCCCATTGGTGTCGGCTGCTGCTTTTATAGTTATTATTGGATTTTCTCACTTATTGACACTTTGAGACGCCTTTCTATCCCGTCACAGTACTGCCTGTTAATCCCAGAATAGACGGCGGTCATTAGGTGCAACCAGTGAAGCCTGAGTATCTGTGAGGATCAGCTGTGAGCTGCCAAGCACCGCCTCCTTCCTTTCCTGAGGCTACTCTAGGTCCAGACTGGGTTTTATCCCATATGTGGTGTTAGAGGGGCAGGAGAGGCGAATCCTAGCCTCCAGACAAGCAAAACTAAAACTGATGGCCACTTACATGTACTCTTATAACTTTGATTGTAGCCAGGAGGCAGCAATTATTTGTCCCTGAGATGGTGTTTGTGCTGCGTTTTTTAAAATCTGAACACTAATAGGAAAGGCCAGGTACATCATCTTCAGCAAGGATTAACCAAATATTGTCTTTAGTAGATAGGCCAATATGTGGATGTAGAGCGGAAGCATTTTTTTTCTTCTACTCGATACTGCATGGATCGTACTATTCTCCGTGGAGGGCATGTCCTTGTAATAGGACAGGGAGGGAAAAAAGAAAATTGCTGAATGAAAAAACAGTCAATTAGCACGAAGCGCTCATTCCGTCTTAAAATCTGTCTGCGAAAACGTTTAAAGCTCTGCTAATGCGGTAGGAAGCGTGGAAGAAGAGTTCCAAGGTTTACCATTTAGTAAAATTTCATGGTTGCAGCTTTTTTTCATTGGTGTAGAAAGCAAACCATTGTTTTTAAATGAAGTGCCTAAATGTCAGATAATTATGAAAAATGCCCCAGAGCACAAAGTAGTTTTCACAAATTGGCTGTTTTACATGATTTGATCAAACCCAAAAGCAGCTAGCTGTGTGTAAAATGGCTAAATGTCACACGAGAAAAAAATGTCATTACAAAAAATGTTTTATGAACTGTTAAACGAGTTGCCTGAAACTTTTGTACAGATTTGAATGGTCCCCAAAGACGATGGTGCCGCCTTTTATCACTATTTCTCCAGCATCATTGTGAAGTTTTGGTAAATGTCTCAAGTGTAGTAAACATTCAACTTCTACACATCGGGCTGATTGTCATTAACATCTGTGTGCTCAGAGTTGCTCAGATCTGCTGTAATGCTTCGTTACATAGATACAACAAGCTCCCTCAGAGGTTTTGTTCCACACTGGTGTGACTGGATCACACAGTTGCTGCAGATCTGTTAGCGGCATATCAGTGATACAAGTCTGCCATAGCATAACATCCCAAATTTGCTTTATTGGACTGAGATCTGGTGACTTTGGAGGTCATTTGAGTGAAGTGAACTCATAGTCAATAAAGAAACCAGTTTGAAGTGATTTGAGCTTTGTGACATGGTGTTTTATCCTTCTGGAAGTGGCCATCTGATATTGAATACACATAAAGGAATAAACATGGTCAACAACAATACTCAGGTGGGCTGTGGCATTTGAAGAATGTGAAATTCAGGGTTTCAAAGTTTGCCAAGAAAATATCCTCCACATCATTACACCGCTACTGGCCTGAACTGCTTAATATGGGTGGATGGATCCATACTTTTGGGATGTTTACACCAAATTCTCATACTGCTATTCTGTGTGAACTGTAGCCTCATTTTCCTGTTGTTAGCTGACAGACGTGACACTTGGTGTGGTCTTGTTTATGCTGTTGTGGGTTGATTTGAGTATAATCTTTATCCAAAGCATTTCTCTCTCTCTCTCTGTATTTAGATTTTATATAATACATTTGTTGGGAATCCAATAGAGTGGAATTATGTAAACCATTTCAACACATGATTTTGTTTGTTTCTTTCTTTCTTTCTTTCTTTTTTAAACCCATATTCCTATATGATTCAAAAGGTAAGCATCGTCGTCCAGAAAGCCGCATAGTAGCCTGGAATATGTGAAATAACATTTCCTTTAACAAGGCATCATGTGTCACTGTGAAGCATCAGTCTGAAGCTTCTAAGAGTCAACATAAGAACAAACTGTGAAGAAGTCTCAAGAGAAGCCCTGCCTTGGACTGCCAAACGCTGGAGATCGAAACAGCCTTCTTTTAAGGGCCATGACTGCTAACACAGAGGAAATATGAACACTGGAATCACTTCAGAGCAAAAGCATCAAAGCCCTGCAGAGGCCCACGCCTAAGCTCAGGCTTAAATCACTCTGAAATCCACTGAGATTGCTTGAAAACAGCTTTTTCACAGATGATTTTCAGGCATCCTGATTTAGCCAAGCCACATCTGCGAGTCTACATGTTGATGTATGCATTTTAAGTCCAAATAGGATTTGCACCTGAAGGCACTTCTTATGTAGCTACACGGTACCGTAACGTTTGTGTTCTCATTGACCATATACAGTTCAGTGTGTGTGTGTAATCTGTATGTAAACATCATGTGGGAATGTGAAGGTGTGCCACATCTCAATGAGACACAGAACTGAAAGCAAGAGCAAGAGAGCACTTCTAGCATCAAGAATAACTCATTACACTTGACTGTGATTTTCATTTACAATACAACATGTTCCCCACATCTTCAGGAGCACTTTCTAATAACAAAGTAAACCTGCTAACCTAACAGATGGAAACTTGTTGCAGCTAGCATGCACCTATTAAAATTATCTATCTATCTATCTATCTATCTATCTATCTATCTATCTATCTATCTATCTATCTATCTATCTATCTATCTATCTATCTATCTATCTATCTAT